ATTGACTTGGTATCATCTTTTTACTTCTGACCGTGTGAAAACAAGCTCTCACACTCGCAGATGCCCACCATAAACACATAGATCCAAAGAATTTCACCTAGTGAAAAGAATTAGGAAAGAAAAAAATGCAGGGGAGGGGGGGATCCACCAGGAAAAGTGGAAAATGCATCCAGGAATGTGTCCATTTTGTTATGTAGGGCAAATGATTCTTCCTCCTAAATTTCTGGACAGGAAATAGTTCATCTGAACAAGAAGTCCCTTTATGCTCTGATTGGTAATATTTATTAGGAACAAGATTAAGGTACCAACCCCCAAATTCCAGCAAATACTTTACTTTCAAATAAGGCACAAGCTTGCCACTTTTTGTAAAGGTGAGGAATATGAATCTGTTCATTATTTTAGCAAGGGTCACTAGAATTCTTATTAGTGCGAGGAATGATTCTCGTGAGTTATTTTGGTCACCCCATCTGGCGTGACATTTTCCACATGGCCTCCTTTCTAAGCCACGGTTTCTCCACTGCTCCAGTGCAATCTCCAGTAAGCTAAATAATATAAGTCTTGATCAACCCCAGAAGTTGTTTAAAATATTGCTTCTTTTTTAATATCCCTTTCCCAACTTTGCTCATCTGATCACAGAAAGTAGCTAGCTGTGGGAGAAAGTAACGGGTGGCTTTTCTCTGCCTCAATGGGCACCCTTTATATATTTTGGTATCTGTTGTAGATAGGATTGTGAATCCGTTGGGGTTGTGTATCTGTGTGTATATCAAGCTGCACGCCAAAACGTGGTCCTTTGGAAAGAAGGAAATTGTTTCCTATCCTTGGATCCAAAATTTCAAGAAATTCAGAAATATTGCCTATCCAAGGGAGGTAGAATTGCATCTTTCAACAACCTCCTTTTACAAGAAACCCTGATCAGACCCTAAAAACGGAAAGACAGCTGCATAGAACCTATTTAACCAATCATCTATTTTAGCATTCAGCCTTCTCTCCCCCAGCTAAGCGGTCCCAAACCTCAGATCTGTTCTCAGTGCCCCCATCCATCTTTCTTGCCCTGCTCTGAACTGGTTCTAAATGGCCAACAATCTTCCTTACAGTGTAACATCCAGAACGTGACATGTTTCTCCAGATGTGACTTGATGAGAAAAAGAGAGGATGCTCAGGTGTTACGCGACAAGTCCCAAATCTTATTAAGATTCTGAAATGAGGCTTAGTTGGAACAGAGATGGGGGGAAAAAGAAAAAGAAAAATGAGTTAATATTTTATCTCTTATGTAACCTGGAAACACAGAGTGGTTTTGCTTCATCTTATCTCCTGGGTATGTGTGAATTTTTTTTTTTCATGTAATCTTTGCTACTGATCTATTGGGAACATCAGATTATAGTCTGTGCTCGCAGAACGTGCTGAGAAGCAAAAGACGGATATGTTGTGAAGGGATTGGGTCTGATTATTAACAGACCCGGTCCAACTGATTGCAAGTGGTTACGAAAGGAATTACCTGATTGTTACTTAAATATGCATTGATTATATGATTTGGAACAGCAATTATCTGTGTAAAAGACTGTGACTCCAAAGGAACTTGTCAAGTGCAGGGAGCTAATGGAATGGCTGAGCAAGGGGACAACTTAATGAGATGGAACGAAATTGGTTAAAGGAGGGGGAAAATCCAGACTAACTTACTCTGATTTTGTGCTCTTCATGCAACCAGATCAGAGATGTTTGGATTGTAATTAAGGAGGCCAGGCTGACGGCAGAGAAGAAACTAGGACTTCATTTAGGAGTAGAAGACTGATGGTTCCAGTTGGGGATGGCCAATTGAGATGGGGTCAACAGCAGCATGCGACAAAATTAGAACTGGATTTTGGGGGTGCAGCACTTGTTGGCTGTGATGTTGTCCCCAAATTCCAAGATATGAGGTGGTCAGTACAATACGATCAATTCAACCTTGGTTGTCTAATGCAAGATCTCATGAGGTTTTGGACCTCACATTTGATTGTCACTCCAGAGAAGTTCTCCAGTTTAGAACTGCCATCCATCCATCCATCCATCCATCCATCCATCCATCCATCCATGCCCTTCTCAAAGAAATTCTCTTCCAATATCTGTGTTCTGGCAGTTTTCAGTGTTTGTGGCTCCTTATGGGATTGTGTTGACCCAACAAACCTATCAAGGTCTGTGAAAGACCAAGCTTACTTTTTCTTCATCTTGGTTTGTTTCCTTGTGGCTCAACATGTTGTGTGTTCAAACGATCCAAAGAAAGTTGGAGGGGTGTGTGTCCCTTTACGTTGTTTATTTGAAATACAGCAATTTTCAAATTCTCCAGAACCCCATTCAGTGTGCTTTGGGTGCAATGGATAAAATTTTAGTTTGGAATTAAATCCCAAACAGGCAAAGTCCACTGCCTCCAAAACAATCTGGAAAATTGACATAGTTGTATCATTTGCGTAACTACACAACCACACAATTACATGTTTGGTGTAATTACAAAACAGACATAAAAACCTCAATCATGTCATTACGAAATGGGGTGAAATTATGCAAATGACATGCATGGTGTCAATTCCGGGGATAATCCTTCCACCCAAATAGTGAATTAAAAGAAGATTTCACTGAATTTCTATACATCTCTTCTTCTGCGGATAGCATACCTCTCCCCCTGCCCTGAACATTCCTTGGGATTTTGATCCAATCCTAGTAACATTTATCTGCTGTTCATACAATATGCTGTTAATGAATGATTTCTTTGCCTGCCTGCATTTTTAGAGATCTGCTCCTTAACTGTCTTCCATTCTTTGGTTTAGAGTTTAGACCCAGCTGTCTAGGAAGGCATGAAATCATAACCCCCTCCCAAAAAACACAATTTCAAAGATACATGTAGTTATTTCAAACATGGCTGCTCTCCTCTTCCTTAGAGAAACTCAGGGAGTTGTTTCTAATATTGCATCAGTTCCGTGAGGCTGGTGGGATCCAGAGAGAGAATCGCCCGCGAGGCATTCTGCCAAATAAGAAAAGTTTTTAACCTGGTTTCTCAGATCCATCCCTAAATGGCAAGACTTGTAAAGCTTGCTCACTCTTTTCTGAACTTCTAGCTGGACCACGACAAGCCTAACTGTACTTACTATGTCACTGTCATTGTACAGTCCAAGATTGTGGTTGATTTTTCTTTGCTTAGGAATAATATCAGGAAGAAAAGCAGGATGGACATTCCAGAGAAGTAGATTTCAGTTAAACTGTGATGGAATGGACTTAGGAAGGCCAAGCTCAGGGAGATAAGCGTGTTCTTAGTTTACCGGAGGAGCGTGGGAAGTTCAAGAGGATGAGGCTGGCACCTCCCTGAGGAATTCACACTGTTGTGGCTGGGG